GGTGGGGTGTTGTGAGGGGTGGGTTTGTTCGAGAGCGATTTTAAGGGGTGCATTTTGTAGGGGGCATCAAACAGAGTCGCCTCAAAGGTTTTTTTGATTTTTTTACTCCCTTCCGTCGCTCTTGGATCCTTCGAAGTGCCGTTTTTCTGCATTACCCCTTTAGGGGGGGGGTGAATTAACCCTTTCTCATCAACCCTCGCCCATGTAACTTTACATACGCCCAGAGGACACTTCGAAACTACTCCTCACGGAGTTTCATTCCAATCGGTTGAAAATTTCCATGTTTTCGAACCGTTTAAAAGTTTGTCCGCTAAGTTTTGCGCATTAGTGTATATTCTTTCCGTACTACATACGGATATTTACACTGAACGTACCAAGCGATGTCAAATGACACTTTTCAAAATTTACTTTAAAATCGTTCATTCATTGATATTTCTTTCGCTCATCCGACTTTCTGTAAATTTATATATTATCTGGTTATTCGGTGTATATAATTTATAATACTTTGGAGTCAGATAACTGAAGAGAATGGGAGTGAGTATGCATCGAGAGGTTATGAGAATAAACTTGTCGCATGATACTGCCATTTTATGTCATTAATATACTACTTTATTTATATTCATTATTTGATATTCTATGTAAATAAATACGATGCATATATTTATATCTTTTTATTAAAACATTTGATCGAAAAAATCACTGTTTTGAACAATCTTTTCACTTAAATCGCTCTTTTCTCAAATTCCTTAAATGCTAGACAAATTTCGCGCCCAGATTTGAATTCGGCATGTCAAAATCCATAAAAAAAAATTCTACCACTCATAGTAATGGAGAAACTAAAATTTTGTTGCAAAAGTGCAAGTTCAACTTACATTTTAAAGGTCAATCATTATCCGTATCACTTCCTCTATATTTTTCTCTTAATCTGTGAAGTTTCAGATTTAATTTCATCCAAGAATCATCTCTCTATCTCATTTCGTTCAAGAGTTCTACGATTTTGACACAGATTTGGTCGATTTTGCTCACTGTGCACCGTACGCACGATCCTTTGATCATGCACCGACAGCAGTCGAAAAGCGTTCGTCAGCGCACAGGCCGTGAGCGATAGCCAGAAGTGGGGGTCGAATCCATGCGTCGAACCGTTCGTGCGTCGAAAAATGCTTGGCAGCACTGTCGACATCATATCGCCACACTATTGTGGCGTAAATATAAAGTCCCTAGATCATAAGTTCCCATCTAGTTTAAGTTGGTAGTTAGGGTAATGTAAAGGATGTTGGATGTAGAGACCCACGAGTTTTTGTACAAAGCAAAATAAAATAAATCTTTATTGTTAACCGTTAAAAGGCGTGTCGATCGGTTTCCCCTACAATTGGTGCCGAAGCTCGTTTACAAAACAAAGAAACATGTCGAACGACGAAGAAAAAGGGGCCCGAGAAGACCTGGAGGTAAATGCGAGCGATTTTCGAAGTGTTAAACTACCTACATTTTGGCGTGAAGACCCTCGATTTTGGTTCGCGATGCTAGAACGAGAATTTGCGGCCTATGGCATTCGGTCAAATGCTGTTAAGTGTACGGCGGTAATCCGTCACTTAGATAATACGATAATAAGAACTGTATCCGATATAATTTCCTCGCCGGATACGGAGGATTCGTACAAAAAAATCAAGGAAGCATTAATAAGCAGGATAACGTCATCGGAGGATACGCAACTGTGACAATTATTAACAGGCGTAGATTTAGATTTCTACAAACATTATGCCTGCAGAGATTTCCAAAGCGAATACAGGAAATACTACCCGTAGTGGAAGACACGGAATTAGACAAACTGGCATTACTAGCGGATAAAACAATGAAGCGATCGGCTCATGTTGAAGTGGCGCCGGTCTCGGAAAGAGACGGGTCGCAAGAAGCAGTAGAAGGAAATTCTGAAATCGCGGCATTGGCAAGAAAGATAGAAAAGTTAGAGGTGCTGGTTCGCGACAACATGAAGAGGCGGCCATTTTACCGAAGCTGTAGTCGAGACCGTAGCAACAGTAGAAGGCGCCATTTCAGAGGTCGCCATTTCAGAGGGCACTCTCAATCGAGGGATGGCAACTGCGCGGAACAGCAGAATACTTGTTTTTACCATAGGAGATTCAAGGAGATTTCATTTAGGTGCAATCCACCCTGTAATTGGACTGGACCTGATAAAAGAAGGCAGGAAAACTGAATCAATCACCTTTTGTGGAAGCGTTAAGAGGTGACATTACTAAGAGACGTCTCATAATTACAGACAAGGAAAATAACATACAATTTTTAATTGATACGGGTGCTGACATTTCCAACCTACCAAAATCCACCAGACGTGGATTAAAAACAGATACATACAAGTTATATGCTGCAAATGGTACAGTTATTAATACATACGGCAATAAAAGATTAACAGTTAATTTAGAATTATGTAGACCATTTACATGGCGGTTCATGGTGGCGGATGTGGCAAAAGCGATTATAGGAGCGGACATTCTACATCATTACAATTTATTAGTAGACCTCAGGAGATGTCGGATCATTGACTCGAACATCAACCTTTTTAAAATTGGAGCAATAATAGATTCAACATTGCCAACAATCAGCACAATAAATATTAAAGACAAATATCAGGTATTACTCAAAGAATTTACCAATATTACTAAGCCACAGCATCAGGTTAAAAGAAATCACAACGTATATCACTATACATATATGTTAGCGTCAACGTCCTTAGGAACCTTTTACGGTAAATAGTTAGTCGCCTTTCAGACTGCGACAGTTTTATGGTAGAGTCAGTACGACCGAGCGGATTCCTGATGAACGCCAGGCGACCACCATGGACGGTCGGCTGGCGAGAGATGATGCCTCGGCACTAAGTATCGAGTGACGAAGGTCTGTTTGTTTATATCTAACAGATGTGTCGATTGGCAAGCAACCCGACGGTGCATTGCCTAAAAGTACAAAGACGTTGACCTAGAGGAACTGGCCACGGAGTGGGAAAGGCATTTGCCTTTTGGTAAGAGGACTGTGAGGAACAGCACGGCACTTACCCCAGAACCGTTGAAGGAAAAAGTCGTTTGTATTTTTCTAACATATAGTAACCAAAGGACCACCAGTAGCAGACAAACCTAGGAGATTGACACCAGAAAAATTGGCAGTCGCAAAGACAGAATTCCAGCAAATGTTGACTGAGGGCATCATACAGTAGGGCTGTCGAGTACTCGAAAAAGGCGAGTCGAGTTTTACTAAAGCGAGGACTAAAGTCGGACTAAAGCGAGCGCCTCGGAGGAGGCGGATTCACGTTGCCGGAACGTGACGGTCCGTGTCGTACAGTCTGAATCGACCTTTACTCGGTTCTTTCGAGGCGCACGCTTCGGCCAGAGTTACTCGGTCCTGTCGAGCCGCTCGCTTCTTTCGAGTACTCGGCTCGGATCGAAAAGTGAGACTCGACTCGGCTCGGCTCACGAGTAGTTCGAAACATCCGAGTTTTCCTACAGGCCTATCATACAGCCATCGAAGAGCCAATGGGCGAGTCCATTACATATGATAAAGAAAAATACTGCTTAATGGAGGTTGAGCGGTGATTATAGGAGGCTAAAGAGTGTTACAATGCCAGATAGATACCCATTACTACATGTACAGGATATCATGGATGATTTTTATGGTGTCACAGTATTTTCAGTAATAGATTTGCGAAGAGCATATCATCAGATACGAATGGCACCGGAGAACCAACCTAAACTGCAATTACAACCCCCTTTGGATTGTACGAATATACAATAACGCCGTTCGGATTGACAAATGCATCACAAGCCTTCCAAAGGCTAATGGATGTGATACTAAGGGATTTACAATATTGTCGATGTTACATTGATGACATTATGGAGCAGCATATTGGAGCAGCTTGAAGCACATCTGCGAGCAGTTTTCCAAAAGCTGAAAGAGCATGGTCTAACCATAAATGTATCAAAGTGCCAATTCGCACAGGAAGAAGTGGAATATTTAGATTGTAAAATTAACAAACTAGGTATCGCTCCGTTGGAAAAAAGGGTTTCAGCGATACAGACATACCCAAAAGCAACCACAATTAGTAAGGTAAGAAGATTTTTAGGTGTACTAAATTATTATAGGAGATTTCTTCCCAATGCAGGGGAGATTCTAGTACCGTTGAACCAAATGCTCAAAGGAGCGAAGAGAAAAGATGACAGGCCAGTCAAGTGGACGGAGAATGCAGAAAAAGTCTTCGACAAATGCAAAGAGTTAATGGCAACAGCTGTATTGTTGCATCATCCAGTAAAAGGAGCAAAATTGGCTCTCACAACAAATGCTTCAAATATTGCGTTGGGAGCAGTGTTGGAATAATGGAATCAAAACAGGTGGGAACCACTAGGTTCCTTTTCTAGAAAAGTGGACAGAGCTCAAATAAGATACAGCACATATGATAGAGACTTGCTGGCAATTTATAAAAGTATCAAATTTTTTAAACATTGGGTAGAAGGTAGAGCTTATGATCAGAACGGATCATAAACCTCTCGTGTATGTCTTTCAGCAAAAAGCTGATAAGACAACACCGAGACGATTACGTATTAGATTTCATTGGGCAGTATACAACGAGTATACAGCATGTGACAGGAACGATGAACAAAATTGCAGATGCACTGTCACGGTTACCAACTATAAATTTACCAGTTTTGGTTTCAACGGAAGAATTACTTGAAGAGCAGCAAATAGATGAAGAACTGCAAAATTTAATAGGAAGACCAAATCAAATGGACAAATGGGGTATTAGAAAAATTGCCATCAGCGATTTCAATAAACATATACATATGTATATGGTGACATTTTCAACGAAGCAGTCAGACCATACATACCTAAAGCCCTAAGGAAAAGGATTTTCGAGGCTATACACAATTTGTCCCAACCAGGAGGAAAAGCTACGAAGAAGATTATAGCAAAAAGCTTCATGTGGCCACAGATGAGAGAAGATATTACCAATTGGGTGCGTTCTTCTTTAGATTGCCAACGAGGGAAGGTTCACAGACACAATAAAAAACAACCACAGCATATTGAAGTTCCAACTGGAAGATTTGAACATATACACGTGGATATTATGGGACTTCTTCCACCATCCAAAAATTTTGGATATTGCCTGACTATAATAGATAGGTTTATACGTTGGCCTGAAGCAATCCCATTAAAGGACATATCAGCTGATTCAGTAGCAATAGCATTATTTAATAATTGGATTGCAAGATTTGGAACGCTAATAACAATGACCACGGACCCAGCATATAATGGATTAGTAGAAAAATGGCACAGATCATTTAAAACAGCCATCATATGCCATAAGGATAATGAGTGGACAGAAATTTTGCCCACGGTATTGTTAGGTCTGAGAACGAGTTTTAAAGAGGATATTAATGCAACAGCAGCTGAGGTGATATATGGAAGCAGCATACGCTTACCAGGAGAATTTTTTAAGCAAGGCGAAAGAAGCGACCCAGAACATTTTATTAATAAATTCCGACAATGTATTAAGAGAATTAAACCAATTACAACCGCTCACCATTCCAGGCGTAAGGTATTCACGAATAAAACGTTATATACATGTACACATGTTTTTGTTAGGATAGATGCTGTAAAAGAATCATTGGATCCACCTTACGAAGGGCCATCTCAAATTTTAAAAAGATTCTCAGACGATGTATTTCAAATTAATTATAAAGGAAAACCCACAAATATATTCATCGAGCGATTAAAACCGGCATTTACGGAAGATGTGGGAGAAACAAGCGGAGAAGGATCAAGAAGTACTGAACTTTGAACGTACGCGCGAGAAAAAACTGTGAGATTCGCAGTTTAACATTTTAAACCGCTCGGAGGGAAGTGATATGGCGTAAATATAAAGTCCCTAGATCATAAGTTCCCATCTAGTTTAAGTTGGTAGTTTGAGTAATGTAACGGATGTTGGATGTGGAGACCAACGAGTTTTTGTACAAAGCGAAATAAAATAAATCGTTATTATTAACCGTTAAAAGGGGTGTCGATCGGGTTCCCCTACTCTATGCATACACTAGAGTCATCTAGCGTTCTTTAACGCGGACTAATAACCTCTTCTCTGCCCTGATGTATCCAACCAAAGGCGACACATCGTTTGGTTCTTACGTTTTCCCGTAACGCCTCAATCTGTATGTGTGTGAAATTAGCCCCGCACTTTTCGAATTTTTGATTTTTTTAAATTGTGCAGCGTTTGTGCCGAATTGTGCCGTAAATCGCAACTCTGTAAGTCAAAGCGTACTCAAGAAAATAGAACAAAACAAAATTTTTGATAGCCCCGCACTTTTCGAATTTTTAGTTTTTCTCTTTTGTGCCGTATTGTGTTATATTTGTGCTGAATTGTGCTGTAAATAAGAGATCAATAACATCAATAACAATTAAGAAAAGAAATAAAACCAAAATTATACTAGCCCCGTACTTTTGCAGAAAGAAACTTTTTTTTCTATAGAAAAATGCGTACTAACTTGTGCTACATTGTCCCATCGATAGAAACTCGATATCTCTAGTCATTTTGCAGATAAAAAATGTTGAATTTGAAGAAATAACAAATTTAATATTCGGGCAATTTGCGAACGGCGACAGATAATCGAATTATGCAAGTTGTGCTAAATTGTGCTACTAACAATACACGAGACACGTGCGTTAAAAATGGAGATTTCCTCGAGGTTAACAAAAATTAACACAAAAAGGTGAGAGTGATTAGAAATTTTGATATTTCCGAATTTTCTTTGATTGTGCCAGATTGTTCTAAACTAGCACAACAAGTTTTCCTAATTACAAAATCTCGTCAGATCGCCAGATTTCGCAGCGTTAGCAAAGTTAGGAATCAGTATATTTGGGGAATATGTATATTGAAAACGTGTATTTCTCAACTGTAATGAATGGTTATATAAGAAAATATATTTTGGGTCTGAGGGTTGTGCAAAAGACAACACGGGTTATACACTAAAAGTTTAATGACGAAAAAAATGGAGGATAATATATCGGTAATATACTACATCCGCACACTTTTGAAATCAATCACGACATAATTGGGACCATATTTACTTGTAACAACTTATTATGTATCAACAGTAACTAAGAAAAGATGCACGGTATATATAACCCAAATTATATCGTGTTTCGTCTCATTTTATTCAGAAAGATGTCATAAATCTGTTGATAAAAGTTTCATACTTACATTAGTATTGTCTCGTTCCGTCCTCTTTTGTTATTCACCGTCATTTTCTACGTTCGAAGCTGCCGGCAAAGATCAAACAATGTGGGAACTCTATGATAAATGCACACTTTCAGTCCCAAGCTTGTGCATTTACCGAGGCATTACTGTACTACGCTACGTGTGACCGCGTGCGAATGCGAATGCAAATTCCTAACGTCTGATTTCTAACTTTGCCAACGCTGCAAAATCTGGCGATCTGACGAGATTTTGTAATTAGGAAAACTTGTTGTGCTAGTTTAGAACAATCTGGCACAATCAAAGAAAATTCGGAAATATCAAAATTTCTAATCACTCTCACCTTTTTGTGTTAATTTTTGTTAACCTCGAGGAAATCTCCATTTTTAACGCACGTGTCTCGTGTATTGTAAGTAGCACAATTTAGCACAATTTGCAAAATTCAATAATCTGTCGCCGTTCGCAAATTGCCTGAATATTAAAATTTGTTATTCCATCAAATTCAACATTTTTTATCTGCAAAATGACTAGAGATATCGAGTTTCTATCGATGGGACAATGTAGCACAAGTTAGTACGCATTTTTCTATAGAAAAAAAAGTTTCTTTCTGCAAAAGTACGGGGCTAGTATAATTTTGGTTTTATTTCTTTTCTTAATTGTTATTGATGTTATTGATCTCTCATTTACAGCACAATTCAGCACAAATATAACACAATACGGCACAAAAAAAAAACTAAAAATTCGAAAAGTGCAGGGCTATCAAAAATTTTGTTTTGTTCTATTTTCTTGAGTATGCTTTGACTTACAGAGTTGGGGTTTACGGCACAATATTGCACAAACGTAGCATAATGTAGCACAATTTAAAAAATCAATAATTCGGAAAGTGCGGGGCTAACTTCACACACATTCAATCTGTATTCAATGAATTTTCGTCCTCGCTTTAGCCTTTGCCTTACCATTTCTCAATAATCGGCAACAATTTACCGGTTTCAGTCTACACACAATTTACACCACTTTTTAAAAATATGTCATCAAAATTTGCTTATTCTCGTAAATATACAGGTTTAATGTTTCAAGAACACGTACATACATCGTTGCTACGATTTTATAAGGAAGTTCTTGGATATTTCGCGTAGCACGGAAACGCGAAAATATATTTAGAGAAAATATATGCTGACTGCAGGAAGAAGGATGCGCTTTGTATCAAATAAAGCGAGTAAAAGTACTTAAGGCAGGTAAATGCTTGTTCAAGAACTGCATTGAGCCAACAACCGGTTAATATTTTTTATTGTAGCTCGCCGTGTGCGCTACAGAATTGACTTTCTCAAAGAATTTTAACCAGATTATTTGAGTATTACTAAGCATAAACGAATGAAAAATTTGCATCGCTTTAATATACTGTATTTAATAATTTGATCAAATTCACCAAGAGCTGGTGAGCAATAATGCAGTTCAAGTAGAAATTATTTCATACATTCCAGTGCATTTTGTCATACTTTTCTAGAATTCTAGAATATCTAGAGCTGGAAAGTATTCATATAAATTAACTAGAAATTATTTCATACTTTTTAGTGCAGTTTTAATGTTTTTCGAAGTCAGTTATATTTTTTCTTTCTCAAAAATTAATTTATAGGTTTTCATCGTTGAAAATGCATTACTGTGCAAAACAATTTTATCCTCAAAGTAGAGTTTCAGAATAAAGTGCACATATAACTCGCAAATTTGTATGCATATTTTAGTAAAAGAAATTACTAAATCTTGCCTTTGAAACGTTATCGTTTACGTATTATCGCAATATTTTATGTCTCAGCCATTCATTTCGTATCTCTGCTTACCTATTTTACATGCAAATAAAAGCGCTAATTAATTAAAACGTTTACTTAACCCCTTTACATTTATTTTGCTCTACTATAGCAATCCATACAATAATCGAAGGAACGAAGTAGGTCTAACGGATCAGATTTTACACGTTAATTTCTGTATTACTTCTTTTAATTGTAAAATCGGTCCTGTTTCTTTCATCGTATAACGATTATAAAATTATAAGAAGTACAATTGAAAAGATTTAATCTTAACTTGATTTTCTTGGTCGTTATGCAAACTACATTTCTCAAAATTCACGAAGTACTCAGCTACGACTTCCCGTAAAGTTGAGGATTATCGTTGCCGAGATCTCTAAAATTGTAGAGCTTCAGATCTGATCCGTTCTCTCTATACGTAAGCGTGTTCAACTCGATCCATTTCCCTGATCTTTACCTATCTATCTCTAACTCTTCTTGAACAAAGTCACTTCGTTTCGATCTCGAATCGTTTTCCCGATCAGCACATTATCCACAATTAACTGTTACCTTAATGTTTCCGTGAAATTTGTTCAGTTAAGCTGAATTAACATGTCTATCAAGATCTACCGAGTTACGTAAAATTATACCGAGCGAATATTAATTTCCGAAAATCCGTAACGTAATAACAATACAATCTTTGTTTTTAGTCTCTTAATCATATTCTGAGTTCACCAGTTTAAATTTTAGAGTTGTTATAAGTTGCTCACGATTATAATTGAATTTTAATACAATTTACTTATTAAACTTGCATCCGCAGGGTGCACTAACGATGTACAATGTCACGCACATAAACAAAAGTTAATATTCGTCAAGTGTCGTCGAAAAGATTAACTCGGAATGATATGATCACTTATTTATTTATTTCCTTTGACAAGCTTAATTTAACATCATACTACTGTAGCATAGTTGTAACCTATCCGAATATAATATAAGATTTATTTGTTCTACTATACAAACAGCCAATACCATTGAAGTTATCTCCTTGATCAGAGGATATATCCGCCTGCACATTTACGATGATACCATTTTTTACGAGCGATTACATACCTACATTTTCTCAACAAAATACAGAATAGCAAGAAGAAAATCGAATATACAGCATCTATGGCTCCTGTTTGAATGTAGGTGATTTAATGTAGGCAGAGTCGGCAGAGGATCGAGTTTCTAAATGTCAATATCGCAACAACAAAAATACTCTATCTCATCGAAATTTCTTACACATTTTCAGGTCGATACGAAGCGAAACGAAAAGCATTTTGTAAATGTATTCTAACGGTAGATGAGTGAGTTGACAGAGGATGCAACACAATACCCCAGGAACAAAGCAGTTCACTGTAGAGTGGCGTTTAATAAGTGAGGGAGTTCCAGTGAAAACCAAAACTCGACTGTCGGCATGCAAAAGTCTGCATGCAACGGTTTTTTTTTAAATTGAAAAGGAGCAGTTCGTTAATTTTCTACGCGAACCAAGTACGACGAATGTTATTCAATACTGCAAACTTTTAGAAAACGGTAAAGAAACGTACCAGTCAAAGTCATGCGATGTTCAATTCACAGTTTTTGGCAGTTAAAAATTATACGGTAACGTAAATTACACTTACGAATTAATTAATTTATGTATTTGTAAGTAGGTACAACTTTGAAACGAAACACCTACAGTGCTCAAAATGAAGAAAGTGTTGTTCAGAATAAGAAGTTGAGAGAAGAACTGAAAGTATAAACATTGGATCGACGTGTAACAAAAGAACGTAATTC